CCTATAGTAAACAGATGATTTTATTCTACTGTCAAATATGTGGTTCTTAACCTGTAGTTCTCTGTTCGTGCGACAAATTACTGTAGATATGAAAATATAATCTCAAAAAGTTTCGATACGAAATTTCAGACTTGTTTATGTTTTGATATGCATGTGTAATTCATGATTAGTCCAGTTCAGAAATTGCTGCGAACATTTTCCGTCATCAGCATTGACTAAACTGCCGGGCGCATGATTCGTTTTGTTATTAGGTGCTGTTTTGAGAGAAGAAAGCGGTAAAATCGTGACATTCAAGTGGGAGAAAATGAGCAAATCTAAGCACAACGGCGTGAACCCGTTGGCAATATTGGACGAGTATGGAAGAGATTTTACAAGGCTACTGGTTATGGCTAACGTTTCGCCCCAGTCATTCCGTAACTGGAACTTAGACAGTATTAGCCGTTCATTATTAAGAAAGCGAAGACTCGGAGCCTTGATGACGCCTGTGCATTTCTAGATTACAAAGGTCTTCAACACTGGATTAACCGTATCACATGGCTGATCAACATGTATCTGAAGGAACATTCGTTGGCAGTGACGGATCGTCGCACATTGGCGAGTGATTCTGCCGTTGACTCTGTCAGCGATGCTTCACTGAGGAAAAAGTATAACTTCACTGTTCGTAAGGTATGTGTGCTTCTGTGCTACACTTTTGTTGCTTCTTACCGAAACCATGTTCACGTTCGATCCTCCGTTTACGACACCAACTGTTCTGTTTCATATATCATGCATGTTTGCCGCCAGTTTTTCATTTATCTGTGACAGAGCACTGTGGTTCCATCGCCTTCATTCGTAAGTGACCAGCGTATCACTTGTGTCTACAATATTTCTGTTTGCATATAGACAGCTCAATTTATGCTTTATTCATACTTTTCGCGAATCTGCTAATCGCCAGTCAAATTTCCGACCGATATGGTTGTTTCCTGGTCGTGCACACCAGCAGAGCAGTCGTCTTGTGTTGTATCAACGTTCGATGCGTGGATTAATGAAGCCTATAAAATAAACTGATCAAGACAAGTGGCGAGCGCTCGCTTGACGCACATTACGTGTTGTGGCTCCGGACATTAATGGGATCCCCATATTCAAGTCAGAACGACTTTCGCGCCATTATTGCGATCACCAACGAGGCCGTCACACACGTCAAATAGAGCTACATGCCAGAGTTCCGGATAGTAATGGGGCTGCCGCACATGAGCCAAGTAGTATTATGAGATCTTCCCATACTCATTCATTTTCGCTTTGAATTTTGGAAGTGGTTGCTTTAGGAGACTTTTTCATTTGTCCTCGTTTTCTGTCAATCATGACTTCAATTTTGCCAGCAACTTTCCGCTTATTATGCTGGTTATAAGTTGCGAAAAATCTTCCTTTGAGAAACGGAAAGGTTACTTTTGACATTGTTAATTCAGTAACTTTAAGGTATATGTATAGTGTTCACTTTTCAGGTGTCTTTCCATTTGGAATCGACACATTTGTTGAATACCGCCATCTCCTGCCTTCAAAAGTTTACCAACGATTTAAGGGTAAGTGTCTTGCTTGAGAGCTGAATCTCGATGTTACGTGTTTATTTGATTAAGAAGTGTCCTACTGAGACGATCAAACAAAGTTCAGAATTTACAAGATGTCTGCGGTCATTAATTGTCATGTTATTTCCGTTTGCACCTCATGTGAGTGCCGAGTTCTGGGGCGCGCTTTCAAACATACCAGCGTGCAAGAATTTTTTTCCGGTACTGCAGGCATATCCCTAGTATGCAGAATTATTTTTTCGTTTCAGGCAAAAAAAGTTTGGGAACAGCACTGGCCGACATTAGATGACGATGCAGTAATGCCCTTCAGCATAAAAATTATGGTATGTAGAAAATATAGCGCTGTCTATAAATACAGGCAGAGTAAATTCGCGTTTGCAGAGATCATCATCTTAATTGTTGGCGTGTGATATATTGCATTCGTAGCTTTTCAACACTTTCGTTATAGGGCACCAATTATTGCATTGCATTGGATATATCCTTTTCGAAAGCACATTTCTGTCACCTTGTTTGTCAAAGTTTATCATGCTGACTTGGTCAACGTCTGCCATGTTTCGACTTGCACAAGAGAAACGCAGGCGCTAGAGAAAAAAGATTATACTCGACAAGTTTGTCTGACAAGGCCAAATTTCTTTAATTTCCACTTCTACTAAATGCACATACTGTGTCTGTAGGAGAATAGTCATTCCTGTGGTCCTGACATTTAACCCTCGTCATGCGCCAACGCTCCTGTACGTTGTTCGGTCATCGTTCTGTGTCCTTCGTTAAAACAACTGTCTCCATGCCGTATAACAACGATGACATATCACACTTGATTAATGGGTGGTGTAGACGGGGCGATCCTTCTATTTATTTTTGATTTCATGGTGCTGTGGCTGAAGATGACGGAAAATAAATTAAACCGGTCACTTGCAAGCATTCCTTTTTAAACTTTTTTCTGTCGATTTTAAGGGCTGTGTTCTCCAGGGCAGTTTGGCCATCCTTCTCCTGACTTAAGATACGTTTCTCGTTGAAGAGATAGTCCTGTTTTAAAATCTTTGTAAGCTTCGTCGACGTTTTCACTTCCAGATTTTGCAGTAAGGGGAGCATTAAACAGCTCTCTGCTTCTTTTTGAGAGGCCGACCGTACCTCTTCGTCATATTTGCGCCTATGAATGTCTAGAAATTGATATACTTCAGTCAAGCGTAAGCAACACGCATGAAGCAAGTTTCGGGTAACGCTGTGTACAGTTTGCAACTCATGAGGAGGTGGTCCTTTTGAAGAAAAACTTTTATCAGGGCCGGCCATTTGGTTTTATTTGCTTATGATGGAATTGTGTCCCACCGAAATTTCTCACTGCTTCATGGAAAGGCTGAACAAATGCTTATCATTTTCATTTACGGTGTGAAATCCGAGGTGGCTTAGTACGCCTTCCCATTGCTGTACTCGGCGTCAGTTTTCGCATCTCAACATGATAAACTGTTGACAGCTGAATGCAAACAGTCATAGAAAGCGTCTTTGGCACTTGGGGCATGCTGTATGGGCGAAGATAACCTTAAACTTTGCTTGTATGACATTAACACAGCAAACTGGGATTCTTTCCAATAGCTGTTCAGTCGAAATAGTCGAAATAACCGCATGGCCTACTCACGGTATCAGAAGAACGCCGACGGTAGGCAATCTGCTATTCTGACTTTGAAATTCATCTCCTGCCCTGTAGGTCAAAGATCCGTTTTTTATGAATGGAAGTTTCTGTGATCGTTATTACAACAATTTTGTACCGGCCGGCCTCGCGACAGGCGTCATTTAACTTCGCTGATTAAAGAACGAAAACGTTCCTCAACGCGTAACTTGTAATGCTCAGCACTGGTACGGTGTATTTCTCGGTTAGGAGTTACTTCATTGGTTGCGAACATAAGCGGCTTACTGTGCAGCTCGATTATTCGAGTGTTCCTTTTTCTAGAAAAAGGGAGTGTTCCTTTTTCTAGAAATAGAAACCACTCACCAAATCAAAGCCCTACGTAACCACGTACATCGAGTTTTATTGCTACTCACGTTTCCTTGAACATATGTACATCATCTTTATGGTCATTATCGTCTGGCTCTCTTAGCTCGCTTAATCTTAGATGGTTTTTCCAGGTCATTTCCTCCAAGGCCGAAGAAATTCGCTTTTTAGGCTTTATCGATCATGCCTGATTTCCTGGGTGTACAAAGTACGTATAGGGCCAAAGAAATTTCTGCATTCTTGTTTGTGGTTCTTATTGATTTGTCGTCAACAGGAGGATGTAGGCTGCAGACAACAGATAATGATGGTATGATTCTTAGGCAACTGTAAAAATTTTGGATGGTATTCATGTTGACCAAAATTACTCTAAACCTTCGCAGCGTAAATCGTTCGCTGAATCTTGCTGCATTGGTGAAGGTCTCAGTGGAAAGTGTACTGAGGCCGCAAAATCCTCAATATTTATCTTCTTCTTTGTGTAGCAGTAGTTCCAATACCTTCGCACGTTTTAGATATGTGAGACAGTAATTTAATGATCTTCTCTTAAATAATTTCGTTCATCAGCGAAATCTGGAATGCTGTAATGAAGTCGGCTGAATACACTCTGAAATATGATTTTTAATTTATCATAGTAAAGTACCTTAGTAACTACAGTCCCATTTTTAGGCCGAAAAGTCATTCGTGCTTGACCATCAAATCACCTTCAAAGAATTCGACGAACTTGACTTCAGCGCTGCATTGACGAAAGCTCTTAACTTATCAGATATACAGAAGATCATCGCATCACGTGCAATAACATCAGCGTATTTTAAAAAAGTGTTATTCGGTAGTGCTTGTCTGAGTATTAAATTATGCAATTAATCACTGCGAAATACCAATACTAGATTTAATTACTGACATCTTCCGTCGTCTGTGATATCCACATTACCACTGGTCATTGGCCTGAATTTTGCGACACGAGGGCGTTTCCAGTTTATTCTGCCATGAGTACCAGATAGTACTGCTATAGTAATGCTCGGCATCAAAATATCTTACTTAGTAGTAAAGTAATGTCTTAAAAATTGTCTGGTATTAAGGTTCGAGCGGCTACTGGATCGTATCATGGGACAGCAGTGAAAGGACAACTTTCTCTCTGGCGTAACGGTCACTGGTTCATGTTGACCAGATTTCCGGGAATCAACAATGTTTGATAGATGCATTATATTGACGAGGATGCTACATCAGCGCATTTAGGGGCTGTAGTTCTAATGGCTGTAATTCTGCGTCATTACTGATTTCACTGATGTGCGTGACAACATAGGTGACAGTACTTTCGACAACCGTATCGTAGTCATTTCCTAAGCTACTCTACTACCGAATATGTACGCTGAAGAACACCGCATAGTACGATCATGTTCAGATGTTCGGCTTTCTTGAGTTTTTCTGTAAAGTTAAAGATGCTACCCTACGTGGCCATAAAGCTGATTGTTACAGAAACCTGGCTAAATATACAATAAACTGATTGAGTTTAACTGACTGCTGAATGAGAAGAACTGAGTTTACTAAGAAATGGCCTAATTGTGCCGTAGTTTTATTTAGCTCTTCGAGCCAATTAGGGTTCAAGTCGAGATTAATAAAAAATTCAGATTTGAATAAAAAATTTTACAATCGACGCGATAGCGGTAATTTCTTCTGATGGTTCTCATGGTTAGCAGCACGAATATAGAAATACTTAGCAAAGCAATCATTCGATAATGCGAGCATCGATCATCATCAGGTTAATGGATGGACAGAGTTGCGAACGGTCAGCTATTGTCTAGCCTATATTGCACAATTTTATTTCTTCCGGTTTAGGCAAACCAGTTCCATGAAATTTAAAACGAAACCACGCCATTACAGATGGTTGGGCGATGGCTGTGTGCAACGACTTCTATTTAGAGCTTTATTTTTTCTTGTCGTTTTTGTCGATAACAGAACAATTGGTTTTACCAGACTAGTCAGCAAATCTTAAATAATCAGCGTGGCGGCTTCTAATGACTATCCTGTTTAACTCGTCGTTTTAGTCTAGACGTCTTGTCGATAAGGGTGCGGTCGTTTTTACTTAAAGTCTTCCATCGACATGTTTTCTTACTTGTGTTGGGACGACAATTAAACTTCTAATTTGTTGTTCCTGCAGAAAAACACTAAAATGAAAACTGTCGTAATTTTTCAAATATATTTAGAACATTAGGTGGCGAAAATGAAAAGTCAATGGTCAGATAGAAAAAGATATGAAAATGCTGGGACGTTTAAATACAGCACGAACTCTGCTTTCCTATCTGCTTTCAAATTAATGTTGTTGGAAGCTTCATTTCACCTCTGCTGCAGTGATCAATGCAATATTTTAAGCCATAAGTCGTGTGCATTCATTTTCATTCATTTATGTTCCATGGCCGCGTTTCCTTTCGGGTCGCGGAGGCATACAGGTCAGACATTGCTTCCAACGTTCCCGATCCTGTGCTAGAGTCTGAGCTTCGGCAGAAAACAACTGGAGTCTGGAACAAACTCCTTCCATATATTTGCACCAGCTTAATCTTGGCCGCCCCTGACCCTTCTGCCGGTCGGATTTGCAAGAAACAGCTGCTTAGCCTTCCTTTCTGGAGGCATTCGCAACATGCCCAAACCAACCCAAGACGTTTGCACTTCATTATATTCATAAAACTGGTTGCGGTTAGAGACCATGGCAGTTAGAGTATTGCGGCTTTCACTACGCCACACAAGAAACAGCAAACATTAGCTTTACGCTTTGTTGAAAAAACCATCTTGTTGTTACGTTACTGCTCTTGGCTGAATTTAATTCGGCTGTTAAGATTTTGGTTATTAATATACATTGGCAGTAGCTGAAAGTGAATACATTTATCTGATTTGATCATTATCAGGCAACGGCATCTATTGTGCTTATTTACCAAAGGAAAACAACATCGATAGATCAAAGGAAAAATGCAAGTTCAGGTGAGACGGGCACAGGTAGCATTAAAGCAATGTATTCGGGTAAAGCAGTTTATAAACATCTCCACAAAAGCCTGCGGTTTCGTTTAGGATGTTTCCCTTTGGCAATTAATAATAAATATCACCAAAATATGAAAAGAAAAACCCATGCTTTAGACGAGACAGACACAGGATTAAAGCACTGCACTCGAAGTAGTTCATAAACATCTCAGTCAAAACTACAATTACACTTGTCTGCATTACAGAGAATAATAAAAGACGTTTCTGGAAAAAAACTAAACCAAATGAGTAACATGTTTTATTCTGCGCAACGTGACCACTTATCTACCCACCAGATGCAGCGATTTATTGCTGAGATGTTAATACCCCGATGCATTTAGAAAAACATAATCGATTAGATTTGGCTTCACCTGCGAAGACCAAAGAAATGGAAAACAAAAACACGCTGCAACAAAGTAAGATCCGGGATGACTGAAGTTTCTAAACTGATATAAACTCAATGATATTTATTTCACTCGGAGAAAACCATAAAACTGGTATACTGCGAGACATCTGGTCGCTCGCTCAGTAGCTACGACCAAATAGAGCATAATGTACGGCGCTCCTCGTGCAATGAGGATAGATGCACTTACAACCAACGGATGGTATTTGTGGCTGTTCAAAAGGGATGCACAAAGTCTTAGCGCCCATCGCCGGGGCACCAGGTTCAGACGGCTCCTCACTAAAAGAAAAAACAGTCGGTCAAGCATAACGGAAAACGACCAATTGGTCGGTCGCTAGCTTACCGCGTGCTGTCTCTCTTGATCCTTTCTTCACAACCACTGTCGTCACAGAACGGCGCCAAAATGATACACTTTGCCTCCAATTTCGCCAAGAACTCATCCCAATCGTGGACCGTCACGCGATGTTCCGAAAGCTGCTTCATGGCCCTAAACATATGAAGGTAATGGCAAAACGCGCGCGCATAACCTGCCTTTC